ATTTTGACCGCTGCTGCTCCCTGCTCTGGTAACAGCATGCAGAGTGAGCGCAGAGCAGAGCTAGAGATAAAAAAGAAAGAAGCTGGGACCACGACTCTGCCTGTGGGTCTCACAGGGTCTCATAATGGTTGTACAATGGAGCTTCTGCTATTATTATGCATGCTAACGTAAACACTGGCTTTGGAGGGCGGAGTTAATGTCAACAGATTTTTGGAGGGCGTTACCAACAGAGCTCATTAACATAAACAGCTCTTCTGAACGGAAATCAGAGCAGGCAGAACTAGAAAATGGGAAATTTTATTATCTGGGAATTATTTTGTGCATYAAATTGAATGAACATGGTCTGGATAGCCCACAGACATACCATAAAAATTTATAGGACCCATAATTGGTCTGCTTTAATCGTCAAGTGCCAAAAAATAATCGATTAATGTTTTTCTGACTATTAACTGCACACGATATGATTATGCCCAACCCTACTTTATATCCAAAAAAATATGAATAAAAAAGCTGGTCATGAATTGGTTTAAAATGTATCCTGAGTGCAGGAAAACGCTGACACCCCAAGTGTTATTATAACAGAAATTGACAGTCAACATGTTTCCTTAATTACTGTATATCTAAACAACAAAATTCAAATAACTAGAAATAAATAAGTTAATAAATAAAATAATTTTAATCTCATTGTTGGTTATGCTATTTACGCTGCAGTAGTAATAGAATTTGCATTTAAGTTTTTAAATAAAAGCTAATAAATCAGGTTTTGAATGTTTTTTTAATACTGTGATATTTTTGCTCAAGGTTATCTTGTCATCAGAATCTCACACCATTACATGCCTTGTCTAAACAACATCTAAAATGTCCATAAAGTTTAGTTTAAAAGTAAGTAAAGTTTGGTCTAAAAGTGAAACATTCAAAGAGGTTTAAAATCATATTTAAATGTCTACATTTGGCTTAAACTGGCAAAAAAATCAATATCTATGTTTTGATCCAACTTGAAACCATACTTTCAGCCCTTCTTACATCTCAGTGAGCTAAGTAGAGAGCACCGGTGGTACGACCACATTATGAGACCATTTTTTCAGCCTGTTTGCACAGCAATTCAAGTCAGATATGGCAATGATTACCAAATGATTGCCATTTTTCTTTTACAAATTCAACTCTATCCTCTCTGGCATCCCAGAGGCATCCTGTTGTCAGCGCACAGCTTGATGTTTCTATGACGTCAAATAAAACTGTCTTGTTTCATGTTTTTATCCGCCAGTAACTACTACTGTCTCCACTTTCAGCTGTCAGCTCAACAAGGTCAGTGAGTTTTTCTTTTTTTTTTTACACGTTGATGGTATAATCAGAATATCAGCAGTAGGTTAAGACTTTTGAGACATTTAGACCTCAAATCAAACCTTTTSAATTAGAGGTAAAATGCCAGATGGTGTTTCTGAGGGTTGTGGGTTTTACAGTTGTTTGTGTGTGATGGCTAAAAGTAATTTAGCTCATGATTTTCAGGGCTATTTCAGGTGTTGAAATAGCTTAGATCATAAAAACTCTATTTTATGAACAGAGCTTTTTTTTCCGATCACCTGTTCAAGTATCTAAATGTGCTCTTCGCAGGTCGTCTTCAAAATCCTTCAATAAACAGAGATGCTGGTCGTGATATGTTTTTGTTTTAAACACATTTAACAAATGTAGAATTGCTTCCTTCCTGTGCTTTCTGCCTCTGTTAACAACTGTGAAGCTTCCTAAAAGAATCTTGCAGTCAGGTCAAGTGCACAAATAAAGATATCCTCTGGTGTGTTGGAAGACCAATTTTTTCTGAGGAATGCTGTGTGCAAATTCAGCTATAATAGCAAACAAGACAAATGCTTTGCATGCTGAGTAAGCTTCTGGTAGAATGATGTTGATCTGGAATTAAGGAAATGGCGGTGGAGGTATTATGCATTTTCTAGGCACTATTCCACAATCCAGTAACTATGTTACCTTCAGTTGTTATGAAAATGCTGTATAAATCAAAAATAAATTTGACTCTGAATCATAGCCTGTCTAAAGAACCTCCTACCGTTTCCAACTCTTTAACTGGGACAGAGGTTCGGCCAAAATAACAGCAGATATCTGAATTTTTTGTTTCTTTTTTTTTTGTTTTTGGAGTGTAGACTGCTGCAGGAAGAAACCCCGTGTTTGTGGCATAGCCACAGTGGGAGGGGTCAAGGAGTTTGGCCCAGTGGGTCTCAGGGTCTATGAAAGGTGTGTGTGAAAGCAAACGCCGAACAACCAAATGACCGTGGGTCGACTGTTCGGATCGAGAAAAATGGACCCTTTAGACTGACTCGTCAGTATGCAGTATTGTACATACACTATACTGCACATCCAATAGGTATATTGTAGAATTTTGTTCAAATTTGTCCAATAGTTCAAACGCTATTTTGCTAAAAAGATGGACAAATGAACATATTCACAAACTCACACAAACACAGACAATTACATGATTGATAGGGCTCTCCTGGCAGGAGGCGATAATAAGTCTGTGTTGCTTATGTGAGTAATTTCTCCTCAAAATTTTGTAATCTGAATCGATAATTGTAGATTACAACAGCGCACAGCTTTCACACATCTCAAGCRCCTATTTAAAACACCAACAGTCATAAAATGACACCAAAACTGTGCAAAACCGTGATCGGTGCAGAGTTTTATCAAACCTGCCCCTTTTTAGGGACTCAAAGACGTGCCATGTTCGTAAAAAAAGGCATCAGTACACTTTAGCACCTAATTTTCAAATGAAAAAGGCTTTTGTTTTATCTGTCCAAACCATTTTTTTTGCTTCTTGCTTTCTTCAACTCTCCCCATCATCATCACCATCAGTTTTTTCTCTCTCTCTCTTCCTCTATCCATCCTAACCCTTGAAGAATCAACCCTCGCTGAGTTTCATTCCCCCCTGAGGGCTCTGTGTCACACTAATGTCAAAAGCAACTAATTAGACCTCTTCATGCAGACAAGAGCAAAGAGTGCTGCTGTTCTAAAGAAGATGACTTAGTGCTGGTGTATCTCTTGTTACATGATGGCACAATGCCACTCTATAAAGTGTACAGTGTGTGTCTCTGCCTTAAGACATAGAAATAATTGTTTCCTCGGAAAAAAAACAATGCACATCCACACTTTTAAAGTCAGTTAGAAAAGATTTCTATCCCTGTGGGGAGACCTTTGTCTTCCAAATAATTTTTCAGTTGGAGATTTACAACATTTACCAACAGAGCCTCTGTCTGATGCGTGGGAAACACAGCCTTGATTACTTTGCTTAATCTGGGGGAATGAAAAAGGGAAGAAATAGTTTTCCACCATTTGGTACATTGTGTTTTAACACAGTTGAACTCACAATTAAATTGTTCACATTTACATATTTGTTGATTTTTTCCCCCCTCCTCCCCGTTGTCAAAGCAGGTTTGAAATGGTGATTCGTTCACGGCTCATAACTGTTACCTGTTAAACTGGAAGACAACAATCCACGCTCGGCTGCACTGACATATCAATCAGACTGGTATTGTGTTCCCATAAATTTGCCTGACAAACATGCATAAATACAGTTTATGGGCACCTGTCTGACTACAAATCAATATTTCCAATTGTGAGCGACAAATTGTTTCGCATCCGCCAGAAATCCTCCATTTGAAATGCAGGAAGTACAAAAGGCAGTCAAATCGAAGGAAAAACAAAACCTGACTTGACCTTTTCCAGCTTTCAGAAGCTTACAGTCATGGGAAAGAAAGTTCACCCTCTCTTATTTCTAGAGTTTTACGTACCAAGACATAATAAAATTGAGTTGCTCTTTACCGGTTTCTAAAATTATTCAAATCTAGTTTCAAGCGTACCAAAACACACAACAGATTGCATCATGTTGTTTTCTACACTAAACAAAAACAAAGCCAAAATAAAAAATGTTGTGTGAAAACAAAACTAAGCCCATTTCACAATTTARCATTTTGTAGAACCACCGGGAATGATTCTCAGCAGCTGTTTTCTGTTTGCATTTATCTGAATGTGTTTTAACGTTGAGGAGAWATTTTAGCTCACTCTTCTTCATAACATATCTTCAGTTCATTGAGGTCTACAACTGTTGTTTTGTTAGTTTTTTTTTCTGAACCGCTCTTTAAAGGTCCTACTACACCAACTTAATCAGGTTGAGGTCTGGACTTTGACTGGACCATTGCACTATCATGATTCTTTTTTTTCTCCYTTTTTCAGATGTTCAGTTGTAGATTTGCTGTTGTGTTTGGGATCATTGTTTTATTTCATCATGAGCCAGTTTGATCCAAGCTTCAGCTGTCTGATAGTCTGATGTTTGACTCCAGAATCTTTTCCTCTACAAAGTAGTTCAGGGTCGAATCAAACCAGGTCATGTGGCTGCAAAACAAGCGCAAACTAGCRAATTTGCATTTCCTGTGAAAATGCAGTGTGAATGCTGAAAGCTGCTTTTTTATTATTTTCAGAATAGCTAAAAAAGTTGAAACTAGCATAAAATAGCTAAAAGAAAAAGTTAGCTGCAATAGCTGAAATTAGCACAAAGAAACACAATGAGCACGTTTGCTGAATTAAGCAGTGTCGCTGAAATGATCACAAAAAGGTGAATTTAGCTGAAAAAAGCTCAAATTTGCAAAAAGTAGCTAAAACACAGAAAACAGGTGAAATTAACAGAAAACAACTGAAAGAAAAAACTAAAAGTTGAATTTGGCAGAAAAAGTCAGAATGGTAGCTAAAGAGAAGGGAAAGGAGAGTAAATAGTAAAACAAAAGCTGAAAGAAACCAAGATTTGCACAGAGAGGTGGAAAAATAAAGAACCAGAGCTAAAGTTAAAAAGTAMAGTAAATATTTAYGAACATTTTKAAGGGTTTTGAAGRCAGCTCCATTCAGTTTCAATGACAAAAAACATGACCAAAAAAGCTAAATATTTCAAAGTATAAATTGCTGAGTTTCAAAAGTCATAGCAGRAATTTCCTAAAGAGCCAAACAGTTTGATATATAAATTGTTCAAACAGCACAAAAATTGTGGATAGAGATGTGTGTTGAAAAAACATACGTGAGACAAAAGGGACTCAAAAGTGTGATGACTTTATAAGCATTCACACAACTGTCATCTCTAACCATCGTGCTTGTCAGTTGTTTTAAGGTGTTTGCGCTGATGTTGTCTTTTGTTTTTTTGCATTCTTGGCTAACATCTCTATTTTATTTTTATGTGTCCGAAGGATGATGCTCCAGAAGTCTTGTGGTTTATTCAGATGCAACTTTAAAACTTAAGTCATGCTGCCATGATTAGAGAGAATGGACTTTCCTSTGCAACTCTTCTAAACAAGCAATACTTGTTCATTCAGTCTTTTATTAATTGTCCACTCATGAATTTATATATATACATTTTCTTTGTAGAACGATGGACTCTAAATACTTTGTACATTTGTATATTACCTTAAACCCTCTAAGATTGATGAGCAGCAACGCTTGTTTCTCTAAGGTCAGTGGTTTCCACCTTGGCAATGTGTCAACAAACACCTGTACCGTATGCTCCAGATCCTATAGAAGTAGCAAGGATGCACTATTTTTGGCTTTTTTTGTTTAATAAATAATAACAGAATTGAATCTGTTGGGCTTTTATACATTAGAAGTTAAATGTAACAACTGATAAGTCCTGATTTATAAAACCCTATCAGCCATTTTTTTCCTTGTCTGTATTTTAAAAACAGTCGGCTAGGATCCAGAGTTTTAATTAATTTAGTCCCATATTACCGAATGTCCTTGCAAAAGAAAATGAAATGGCTTTTGTGTCTGTGTTTGAAAAGCCGTCTGTAAGAGCTTGATGTTAGTCTAATATCATGTAACCATCTTTAAATGAGCACCAAATGCCAGGCCGATGTCAAAGAAAAAAAAAAAACTCGTGTGGATGAAAGGACAAAAACAAAAGAAGAAGAGTGCATCAGTGTGGACTGAATCAAAGCAGCCCATCTGGATGAACAGCATGTGGCAACAGGAGCCATCTCTACCTGAGTGTGCGTGGGCGGGATGTTCCTGCGTCCGTAGACCCCCAGCAGTGCGTTGTGTGAGAGCGAGAGATTGAACTTGACGTAGGTCGGATGGTGCACAGTCATTTGAAACCTCCAGAAGAGTCCCGGCGGGATCGCCTGGCTCTGCTGCGTCCCGATGTCGATCTTGCCGTGGTCAATGGCGCGGCCTCTCACCCACTTCTCTGCAGGTGGAAAATAAATAAATAAATAAATTTAAAAAATCACAAAACAGGCATCACTCTCAGTCACATCCAGCAGATTTATCAAGGAAGACAAGCGGTCTGATTCAGTATCAGAGGGAGCCATTAYTAACCGACCTGATGTCCCATAACTTCGGTGGGATCTGCAGCCCAGCTAATTAAGTGAGACTGAATAGACGTCCAAATGACTGAGCACTGGTTTAAAAAAAAAAAAAGGAAGAAAAACTTTTCAAGATACTATGCTTTGGTGCTCTTTTGAATCCACTGTGCATGAAGATGAACTGCTTTGGAAAGGCAGTGTTTGGTCTGCAAGCTGTCTACCGGGGCTTTGTCATGAGCTATATTAGCATCTCCTAACAAGAAAGAAAGATGGGTGTGTTAGCATGTGTGTTTCAAAGAGAATAGGAGGCTGTGGAAGGGGAAAAGTGAAGAACACACACACACACACACACACACACACACACACACACACACACACACACACACACACACACACAAACAGCACATAGAGATAGTGTCTTGAGTGAGAGGTTGTCTTTGTGTGAGAACAGAATAGGTCTTTGCAACCGTCCCTTGGCCATCAGCTCCTCTCCTCTCCATAAGCCTTTATCAAGCTCCAGGCCTGAGTCTTTTGTGTAAAGGAGGGGGGGTGCGCGAGATGGGGGCAATCTCTCCTGCCCTCTTTGTGTTGGCCTTTATGGAGAGATATATCTCTGCTTCTAAACTAAGATGGAGGAAATATGTTGACAGAGGGGAGCCAGCCGATCGTTACCACCACAAAGGCAGAGGAACAGTTAGGGGCAGATTCATGGACGAGTCTGCTCGCTCTCAATCTATAATGCCCGCAGCTCTACCACTCCATTATGGCGACACCATGCGCACCCACAGGCCAGCCAGCATATATCACATGTCCTGTCACGCAGAGAGGGAGCTGAAAGTGCTGGCCTGCGAGGTACTTGTCAGCCATGCCTGGCAGTGGTTTCAGGAAAGGTAGTGTAGGTTTGTTAGACTTCGGTTGGCCTGACCACTGCTCTGGTTCAGACTTTGACTTGATTGGATTAAACTTAGTGCGTATTTTCAAACATACTTTACTGTTACCATGGCAATTTAATTAATTTATTTATTTACCGTTATTTAACCAGGCAAGTCTCGTTGAGATCTCAGATTTCTTTTTCAAGGGAGGCCTGGGCTCGAAGGCAACCTATCGTACATGTTTTTACGGGTGGGAGAAACCAGAGTACCCGGAGAAAACCCACGGAAATGAAATCTCGGAGTTTTATAGCACTCTCTTTTGTAACAATTAAAGTATCTAAGAAGTAAGAAATAAGAAATCTGACTATTAAAGACACTACGAAGTGGACTTTATATCTGTCTTAATTGCTTTGGTAATGCCCACACTTTTTGTTTTAAACTCTGAAAGTATTGTGTTTGGGGTGTTATGTTTGATGGTTTTACTCTTTAGAACAGTAAAATCTAGTAAATATGTCAAGAGTTTCCACTCAAAACCAACAAAAGTGGTGAACTCACTGGGACTAGTGCGCTAAATGAAAGCTCAGATTAGTAATGCCAGTTTCAAGTCTTGTGATTTCGCAGTCATTTCACTTCACACTTATAAGAATATATGTGTTTTGTTTTACAGATAGAGTGTGAAGGAATAAAAGTTGTCTTAAATCCTGAGTTTAGTTACAGTTAGTGGTGTGTTACTACTTTAATTGTGATAATAATTTATTTGAAACATTTTTGTCTCTTTTTCAGTTTCAGATCCTTTTTTTTGTTTGTTTTAATTGACCGTGGTTTTATTTAACTCTTCTGTTTAGTCATTACAAGCATCCCTTCCTGCTACAGATTGTTTTTTTTCTTTATTTCTCACCAGATTTCATTAATAATAATCAGCACACCTGCTTTTGTGAGATTCAATG